TTTTTGACATTCCTTGAAGAACTTAGTACTCCAGAAGGAAAATGGCAGTGGAAAGTCCACTGTAAATTTCAGAAAAGGCTAAAGGAACTGGGCAGGTAAGATCTGGAAAAGTAACTGTATAATGGTTGATTTTAACATTGTGCTAACAAAAATTTCTCTTACCCATGTTCGTAGATGATGGACACTGCTGGTTTTACAGATGTCCATAGCCAGTCATAAGGGCTTATAAATACCAAAGTATTACAGTCTTTTTAGGATGAGATAAGTAGATGTTTGGTGATGTTCTCTGTTACATATATAGGTAAAATTAGCTTAATCTCTTGTGAGTAGAATAACCAGTTATTTATTTGCTTGCTTTTGTAGTACTGGGAATTTAATGAAGGGCTTATGCACTTAGCTACGTACCCAGTCCTTTTTACTTTTTGAGACAATGTCTTGCTAAGTTGCTAAATTGCTCAGGCTGGCTCCAAACTGCAGTTGCCCTTCCAGAGTGTTGGGATTATATGCATGTGCCCTATGCTTTTTTTTTTTTTTTTTAAACTGTGTGACAACTACATCAAGCACTCTCTCAATTAAGGAGTACCTTATGTGGCTAAGTCACATATATTTGGACAAGGTTTAATCTCAACCTTATGAGATCTGTGGTTAAGACATTATTATGTGTATGTGTTATTTTTAATATGCCTAAAGTTGGTTTCTTCAACTGGTCATTTGAGAGGCTCCATGAACAATTATAGTGATCCAATGAATCTGAGATACTATATCCTAGGAGCAAGTCCATAAAAGGCAATTTAGCCAGGGATGTAGCTCAGCAGCACAAGCGCCTGCCTGGCAAGCGCAAGGTTCTGAGTTCCATCCCCAGTGCTGGGGGGTGGCGGGGGCGGGAGGCAATTTACACATTAAAGGATTTCAGGAGCTGTAGTTGAGAATTATGTTTTATATTGTATCAGTCAGCATTTCCTAAACTTAGACCACAGAACTTTTCTTCTAATACCTGTTGACATTACATGGTACTTTTAAGGAAATTCAGGTTTAAATAATTTCAAAATGTTTAGCACCTTAGAAAGGTTGTAGCAATATCTTCTTTTTCCTTTGTTGGTGGTACTAGGGATCAAACTTAGAATGCTCCGTCCCTGAGCTACATCCCTATGCCATTTTGAGATAAGGTCTTGCTAAATTTAAATTGCTCAGACTAGCCTCAAACTCATGATTCTCCTGCCTTAGTCTCCCAAGTAACTGGCATTACAGGCATGGGCACTAACCCCAGCAGCAGTTTACTTTTTTTTAAACTTAGTCATATTTAAAGCCCATGCTGTAGACATTTGGGAAATCGTAATTTGTATTTCTGTCTTTATAGAAACAGTACTGAGACCCAAAAGTATAACTTATCCAGAGTTAGTTGTATATTTGTTGATACTCAAAATTAATACAACTAAAAGCAGCTATATTAGTAAGTAGAATGATTAAGATTTTTAGTGTAAACCGAGTAGCTTACCTTTAGGCTCTGACACATAACTTTCCTCACCCCTCTGTCTTAAGGACTGCATAATTCCTACTCTTCCTGTATCCTAAGAAGCATCCCTGTGTCAGGTACTAAACTGAGCAGGGCTTAGTCATTAGCTGCCTCACTTTGAGAAATAATGGTTTTAATCTGAAGCAAAAATTTCCATACTAAATTTTAGTGCAGATATAGTGAATTCTGCTTCATTTCAGATTGAATACTAAAGCTCTAAGTCTCTTGACACTTCTGAATGTCTACCAGAAGAAACATCTGGTTGAAATTTTGTCATACCACAGTTGTGATTCACAGACTCGAAATGCTCCAGAACTGGATTGCCTTATTAGACTTCAGGCTCAGAACATACAGCAGCGACACATAGTCTTTTTAACAGGTAAAGAGAGAACACTCTTTAAGTTTTCTACTATGAATATAGGAATATCAATGAAAAGACTTCGTGGGGCTGTAATTCTGAACATGAGTAGAAAAGGATTTTGTTGAGGCTGGGCGGCGGCCGGGAGGCGTTTTTATTCGTCCATGTCTATTTTCAAGTGGCTTATCATGAACCTGTTCTTTCATTTAGAGAAGAATATCAAGATGCTTTCCAGTTATACAGATAATGGAATAGTAGTTGCAACCGCTGAAGACTTTATGCAAAACTTTAAAACTCTCGTGGGCTATCACAACTCAGTCGCAGAAGAAAGCTTTCCGTTCCTTGGTGCTAATGAGAATCTTGAGTCACAGTCAGGTAACTTTTCAGTAGTTTTCTTTTTCATTTAAGGCAGAGAGAAAAAGGGGAATGTTTTTGTCTGTTACTAAATAATGAAATGCCTATTTTGAAGCTACTCACCTCAGCATAAAGAGCCCTAGGATTAGTTTCAAGGCATTTATCATTCTGAGATTTAAAATGCACCAGATATGTTCATCTATCATACTGTAGTCAATACAAGTTTTTAGTTATGATAGACGGCTGTATGCATCTGTTTATATTGTGGACAGTGATACTATGGGATTATGCATCTTCTCTCAGCGTATGTAAGCTTTATTGACTATTGTTCAACAAAAAACAAAGGGGTTTTAATTAAGAAAAAAGTAGGAAACTGATTATTGGGATTCAGCTGTGGGCCAGTAAATCTCAGATTTATAAAGCATTTTAATTATGGTAAGGCTGTCATAGCCTCAGTCTTTTGTGAGATGGCCTCTGCTTTGGTTCCAGATGTATGTAAAATGAAAGATGTACTCACTACTGTTTTTGCTGAAAAGCAGAGATGATCAAACATTAGATACAGCTAACTCATTTAGTAATCCAGTGAAGCTAGATGTCAGAAATTTTATTTTATATTTGTCTGGTCAAATACTGAATTACCGTATAACTTTAGATGCTGTTTTGACATTAACCCCTTTGGAGCTGGGAGTTGGGATTTCCCAACATTAAACGTGAACACATTTCGCAGAAGCTTTTAGCATCGGATTATCTGGACATTCACACCTAGTGTGAGTGTTGTGACTAAGTGAACTTGTGGCAGAAGACCAAGCTTTAAGGGATTGTGGACTTGCTGACCCTGACGCGTTATATTGTGTGAGTAGTGTATAACTTTAAAACTTAAACAAATTGTGTATTTCAATAGAGGAGGACTTTTTGTTTTTTAAATGTAGCTCTTTTAGAAAACGATCAAAAGGATGAAGAGGATATGTCTCTGGATTCAGGGGATGAGATCTCACATATAGAAGTATGCAGCAATTTTCATTCAGATCTATTGGAGAAAGAAATCAAAGGATCAAGTGGAAGAGATCAAAAAAAGAATACTCAAATTGGGGTGCAATTGTCTCCAGATGTACAAAAAAGTTTATTAGAAGATAAGACTTCCCAAATTGATTCTGAAGAGAGAACTTCTATTGATATAGTGTGTCCTGAAGGAGAAAGCAGCAATTCAGCAGAACAAGATTCATATAGCATCTTTCAGGTTTCTCAGAGTCCATTAAATATGTCCCATCAGTTTAGTCATTTTAATGTTCTCACTCATCAGACTTTTCTGGGGACATCATATGCCCTTTCATCAAGTCAATCTCAAGAAAGTGAAAATGACTTAACTGCTTATACTCAATGTACATCTCCATTAAATTGGACAAAAAAATGATTCTTCCAGGCCATACTGACAAGTTATAATAATAGTAACTTTAAAAAAATAGGTTGTGGACCTCTTCTGTTTCTTAACAGTTATCAGTTTATATTCTCTAAACACAAGGTTTCTTACCCTTTCTGAAATGTTTTTGTCTCCTCTTATTTAAATCATGATGGCCTGTAACAGTTTAAACATCTGAAAACTGAAATAAATATATATATTTCTAACATATATTGTACTTGAATTCTCATGTTGGCACTTTTTAAATTCCACATTTGTCTGTTACCTGTACTTGAGCTTCAAATTGAAGCCTATTTTATATGTAAAATTAGATGTTTATAGAAGAATGGTAAAAAGCAGTGGTTTCACTTTTCTTCGTCTAATGTTGGATAATACAGACTATTTTGATTTAAGCTTTTGTATAATGTTTTACACAGGTATAAGCCAGTGATGTTAATATTTATAAGAGTTTGGCCTTGTACCTCAAGATGTTTCCAAAAATAGAGTTTCATTTAGGTAACAAACTTATGTACATAGGATTTAATAGCAAGCACCATTATTTTTTAATCTTATAGGCTTAGATGTGTAAAACTTCACCTCGTTTCAGTTTTGATTTTGATAGTATTTGATACTTACAATTTTCAGTGCTTATGTAATAATCATTGACCAAATGAGTTTCAAAACATGGGGCTTCTGTTGTTATCAAAGGCATTAAACCATTTGGAACTTGTATTCTTCTTAGACGTGTATTTTCGAGTGGTCTTATTTACCATTTATTCAGCACTTTAGTGCTATAGTGAATGTTCACACATAAAAAAATATACAGTGGAAACATTTCAAACCCTTACCTAACCTGTATCTATTGCCTTTTTTTTTTCTTTTTTTGGTCTTTTTAAGACAGGGTTTTACTATGCAGTTCAAGCTGGCCTCAAACTTGCAGCAATCCTATTGCCTATTAAAATTAACCTCTCTTTTTTTGAAAATTGCAGTTTCTATAATAAAAATCACAAAAACAGATTTTAGAGCAATGAAAAACTCCTATAGGAGCCTGAACTGAATTTGGATTATTGTTAGTAAGAGCCTAGAGGTGGCACTGCAGAAGAACTTTTTATTAAACAAAATGCATGATTGGTATTATAAGTATGGAAGAACAATGTCAACAGGTCAGGAAATTCAGGCTTTACTAAGGTAAGTAAAAAGTTTTTAACAGGACTTTAAACACCCAGACTGACAGCAGAAAATATTTTTTACTACTAGGTTTTTATTTTTTAAAAAGTGTTTTATTAAGAAAAATGCATTTTACTATGTAATGTACAAGTTTTAATGAGTATTTAAAAAACAAAACTAGGCTATCTGAATACAGTTGAGCAGTGAGCACATTTTATCATCTGGAAGACCAAAAACTGCTTTCTAAATTATAAACGAAGAACTAAAATTCTTTTCTTGATTTGCAGCTAAAGGCATGAGGTTAGTTTCCAACTCTTTTTGCTTCTGGAGAAGGCCCTGAAATCACATTAATATATTAGTAAAGTATATATGATAGCCAAGTTGGAAATAATTCCTTATCTTCTTGTCCTACTAGTATTTAGCTCAGGATAGAATGGTTTTTAGTTGGCCATAGCTAAAGCCTTGTCTTAAATTTTTAAATAATTCTTGTACTAGACCTAATGTGGATATTACAGAGGTACAGTTTTTAGCATAAGAACCAGTAGGGATGATTTTTCTTAAAAAACAAACCTCCATAATGATAAGTCTTCAAGGTGAAATCCTTTCCACTCCCAAGTGCTCTTAAAATGGGGATAAGACACTGAAGAAATCATCTGTATAGCCACTGTTTACTCTTGACGGCACAAATCTTAGTGCCTAATGTACGAGTTCTGCTGAAATGAAGCTAGGCTGTACTGACTTGGTGAATGTGTACATCATACTCCTCCTTCCAAGCAGTTTACCAAGGCAGTTATATAAATGTGCTATCTGTAACCAGAGTTAGCTAGTAACCCCGTGTTAATTTGTCTTAAATGGGCCAGAGTACGGCAGTTTTCTTGTACTATAAAAGGAAAGCAACAGCCTGAACCAACTTTTTGGCACTGGTGAATGACTGGATGTGAAAAAGAACACACATGAGTCAAAAGCCCCAGGGGTAGGCTTCAATGGATGCAGCTAAGGTATATATAATCTAATAACAAGGTTATGAGACACCACAAAAATAGTGGGAGACAAATTCTGGTAAGGTTATGCGTATAATTTCATACTGAATTATTATAATTCTTTGGGACAGATGCTAACGTTCAGTTCTAAACTGCCAACACGGTTTTAAGAACCATTGCCCACGCTGGTTAAAATTCATTGAAGTACAATTGTACTTTTTGTCTGAGGTTTTAGGGCATTACTGGGCAATACTGATCATGTTTTGCCATTTAAATGTATGCATTTTCAATAAAATTGTCTTAATATTTAAACTGTCTCATGATTTCATATCAAAATTTTTAAAGATGGTAAGGTGAAAGGAAATTTGTTTCATTTTATTTCCATTTAAGTGAAATGAAGTAATCAAAAACTGGGATATCATTAAGTCACCTAAATGAAAATGTCCAGCCACAGTTGCCCCCACTCCACACAGAACAGTCACGCCTAGACCTGGTGCAAAGCTCATACCTGTCTCAGTTCTGACAGTCCCTTAAGGATTGCTTGCTGTCGATCCCTGTTTTTCAGCAAGTTAGGATTAAGAAGTGGATCCCTGACTTGGTCAGAGTTGAACAGCTGTTGTTCTTGGTCACAATCTAAAGCAAGATAAAAAGTAACAAAAACTAAACACATTTCTGACAGTGACACAGCCTTAGGCTGTAGTATTTTAAGGATTCATTTTATGAATTTGTATCATGGGGAAGCACACAAGCATAAAATCTTAAAAAAATTCATTCTACCATGCAAGGCACACCTTGTAAGATATTTTCTACAACCAAGTGCAAGAGTTACTTATAAAATTAGGGGTGAGGGGGTGACACTAATCTTCCATCTTTTCAGAAAGAATATATAGTTTACTTACCACAGGAATTATTTTGGTACTGAGGGTCCTCAATTGAAGACCTAGACAGTGGTGCATCTGGATCCAGGTAATAAATCTCATTTGTTCGAATGTAGGGAATAAAATGGGGCAATTCAGGCATCCCAGCTGATAATTCTGTTTGACTACCTCCTAGCATCAGATTCTCACTTTCATAGCTACTATTTTTTAGAGGTAAGTGTAATGCAGTAGTCTGAGTTTGCTGTGTTCTGCTTTTCATGGGTGGAACTGGTGATGACTGAAACCTATTTTTAAAAAAGGATAATTACAGTCTTTAATAAGAAATTGTGTATTTTAAACACATCTCTCCAATCACATTTCAAGTTATTTGAAATGTACCTGTACCTTCTTTAGGAACACCATGTATAAAGTCTATAACCTCCTAAAACAGGGCAACAGAGTAAGATTAATTTGAGATTTTACTAGTGCTAGGTTAAGGATATATGTATTCCAGATAATGGAGAAAAACAGCTAGATCCTATAGATCGGTCCGAGCTGGCTTTAAGCCTCATGTTTCTCCTTAGACAATTCACCATAAAGTAATATCCTCCCCATCTTAACTAAATTTGCTACTATAGTGACATTCTGAGACAACGCTAAAATACTGGTTCATACATAAAAGGTACAAAACAAAAATTTTAACAGTTCTAAATCTCCCACTGCTTAACTGATCTTCTCATTGTCCTTACCGTTTACTCTTTCTCCCCCAAACTAAGTAGAATGCCTACTCCATTGTAGATGCGCCTAGAAAATCAACAGTTAAATCCAATAGAATATGTCACCCTCACTCCTAGTTTAGGCTCAGTCTAACTAATATGCTATCCTATCGCTTAAACCTCTGCCGTGCACCTGGAAGACACACCCTTTCATACTACTATCTTCATCCACTATGTGCCTAATCTCAACTAGAGGTTTGAGCAATTTTTTGTGAGCAAATGTTTTGGGAGTTACTTTTGCACACAGAAATTACTAAATAGCTACAGAAGTAGTCCACATACCTTTCCTTGCTGAATGAATGAATTTTCAGAGGTGGTTCTTCCTAAAAGATGGACACAAAAATAGGAGTATTTAGCATTTCTACATGTCATCAGGTTTATTGTTGAAATAACTGGAGGACAACATTTAAGTAACATACTAGATAATGGAATGGGGAGATGTATTTTTCCAGTCAGACCAGTAATTCCTAATTCCAGCTGGCCACTGAAACAAGGGTCTTAAGTGGGTATTCAAACGCCGAAGGGTATTCAGTTAGATAAGTGCAGATTTTTTTCTGTAAAGGGCCACAGAGGAAACATTTTCAACTTTTGGGGCCATGTGGTTTCTGCTGTACCTACTTAACGATGGTGGTACAGTATAAAGCCAGTCCCAGTTAATTCATGAATCATTAAGCATAGCTACCTTCCTATAAAACTTTATTTAGCAAAATGAGTTTGCCCACAGGGTATAGTTTGCTGTTAACTCTTGTTTAGACAAAGAACAGCCTTGCCTAAACAGGGATCTGGAAAACTCTGGCTTAAGTTTAAAAATGTCAACATATGCTTAAAAATAAGAGGCACTTTTACCTTTTTGAACAGATGCCACTCAATCTTTGATTCCATTTCTTCATGAGATGAAGGAAGAACTGGTGAAGTGCCTCTATTTTGACAGAGGTGTTCAGGATTATTTCTCTCTACCAAGTGAAGCAGTTCCATCTGCCTTCTCACCTTTTTTTCTTCTCTCTGCTTTTGAAGCTGTTTAGGGTACTTTTCTGATGCTGGAACATACCTTTTGAGAGGCTTATTTATATTCCAATCAGGCCTTTTAGGACATTTCTTGGTATGTTTTATTTGTTTCTTCTCTGTTCTCATTAAGTGATTACATTGGTCATACCAACTGTTTTCTTTTTCTAAGTTGGCTCCTTTATTCTCACTTAGTTCTTGCTTGTCTTTGTTAAACTGTCCACTAAATTCTGCAGAAATCTCAGGAGATGAACAATTTATAACTTCCCTCTCTGTTATTGGTCCACAGTGTGGTTCTGCAGTGGTGAGTATTCCTGTATTTAAGTCATCTAAAAAAAGTTTCAAATGATCATGTTTTTAAAAAGGGTAGCATATACGACAAAATGTAAATCATTTCCACTACGACTTTAGAAGTGAAAACTGTGTACCTGTTAAAGAGCAGCTGACTCCCCTACCCTCTGGCAACCACCATTCTACTCTGTCTTTATAAACTGACTTACTGCAGTAACCTCAGGTAAATGGAGTTCTGTTTGCTTTGAAACTTGCTTATTTACTTAGCATAGAGTACTCAAGGTTCATCCATGTTGCGATACGTAAGAGAACGTCATGCTAATATTCCACTGCATAGTATACCGCACTTCTTTATTCATCTGTACAGACCGGCTGCTTCTGCCTTCAAGTTGCTGAAAATATTGCTATTATAATAAACAGACATCTAAGTATATCTTTGAGACCTTTTAGTTCTTTTGGGTATATATCAGAAGTGAAACGGTTCAATGATGTGGTAATTCTGTTTTTAACGTTTTGAAGAAAGGCCATACTGTTTTCTATAGCAGCTACACCATTTTACGTTTCAACTAGTAGTATACAGAGGTTCCAGTTTCTCTAAAACCTCCATTTTAATCATTTTGAAGCATGTATTTTAGTGGCACAAGCAGATCCACGTTGCCATGTAGCCA